ATTTGACATAGGGATCTGACATTCCATTACGATCCATAGCTGGCAACTGTCTGCATTCGAATATTGTAACAGCCAACTGTAATGTGTTGTAAAATGGAAGAGCCATAATCAGTTAACAATAGAAACAACAACTGTTGATCACCAACATCGACAGGACTCTTTTGAAGAGTACCAAAAGTAAAAATTCCTTCCTTCGTCATCATTGAAACGCAGACGCTGTCAGCAGGTAATCTAACTGTTTGCAAATGCCAAGAGCAACCACACGCTGGCAAGGCTGAGGGTTTTTTACAAACAAGCTGATGGCGAATTTGATCCCCTGGTACGCGCCAGTACCAATTTACCATTGAAACGGATAAGCTAATAGTAGAGGGATTGATTTTCGAAGAATGTACTTTAGGAAAACTTTGAATAAAGGAAAAAGGGTAGAGGTTTTTATTAATTTTTCTGAAAATTTTCGCAAATACTTTACCATTCATCAGTAAATCCGCACTTTTGTGCTTCACCCTATGAATGATTTAAAACTGCAAGAGCAGTTTTAAATCATTCATAGGGTGAAGCACAAAATTTGGCGATTAAAACAGGAGTGAATTTAGCTGGAATTGAAATCTGTGTTTTTTATGGCATGATTTGACGCATGTCCTCTCTAACATTCAGATGCGCTAAATTTGTTCCAAAAGAACGAAAGAATGAAATAAATCATTGGTGACGCGCACCGAGTGGGCCTGTGCGCTCAGTTTGCAATATTTCGTGCTGCAGTAAGATCGCTCGGAAATCTAGTAGATAGAAATGTATGATATAATGGCCATCGAAGCACGGGAAGCTAACAGTCTACGCAGTATTTGGACAGGGAACATTCCGTTCAAGTTTTCTGGTTCTTGAGTTAGCAATTTCCCTGCCAAAAATTTTCCCGGGGTTGTACGTGAGTACCACACACTGAGGGGCTTAATTTGATGACTAGAAGTTGTACTTGTGCCGGGAACATTCCCTGAAAATTTTGACCTGGTTCCCGAGTTAGTCGTTTTCCCGCCAAAAATTTTCACAGGGCCATACGTTGACAAGCACGCATACATGGGGGCTAAACTTGATAAATTTGAGCAGGACATGTGCTAGGAACATTTTTTGAAAATTTCAACCTCCCAGCTTTCCTGATTCCCAAGTGGGCGATTTTCGCGCCAGAAACCCTCACGAGGCCATATGCGGGAACCACG